CAACAAAACATACACCCACAGCAGCTAAATCGTCCGGGCAGTCAACAAGAGTTGTCGCATATTTTTACTCTCTTCGGTAATGAAACATTTATAATACACTAAAATCTGATTAAGAGTAACAACTCATTAAGTAATTATCAGAAAATCATTAGAATTTGTTTGGTTTTTATAAAGTTCTGCCCCATGCTAACATTTAGTATATGAAACATTTAATAACATGGATTTACCTGTTCAAGTTATTAAAATTCATTGAAAATCAATATACTTGTTCATCTCAAGACCTTAAACTCTGTGTATCAATCTGAAGTCAATCGGATGATAACTTTAGCCTCTAGAGCATCCACAAGATATTTTGAAGTGATCAAGGGCCATAACTCTGGCAGTAATTATCGGAAATTGCTGAAAATCAATAGGCTTCTTCATCTCATGACCTTAAACACTGTGTATAAATTTAAAGTCAATAGGATATTAACTTTCCCCTCTAGCCCGTCCACAAGATATTTTGAATAGGCTTCTTCGTCTCATGACCTTAAACACTGTGTATAAATTTAAAGTCAATCAGATATTAAATTTAGCCTCTAGAGCGGACGGGGGGCGACGACAATATACAACTACATTTCAATGTGGGCGTATAAAAATTAACTGTACTTTCTTGTACGGTGTGGCACCTGTCTACTAATTGTTTGGATGATATGCATATGAAAGAACCCTTGGCAGTTGAAGGGGAGTAAATGACACCTTTTGGGAAGAAGTCTCCCCCTCCCATTGCAATATAATCAATGAACTGAAAATGTAAGTCTCAAAATTCCATAATATGTTGTATCATTCGAAGACTACCGAGACAAAACATTTCAACATGGCTACCCCTTGTAAGTAAAAACAGTGCTTCTAACAAGACAGACTTTGTGTCAATCCTGTGATAAATATACGAGATGGGTAAGAATGACAAAATTCAAGATAGTGGCACGCTGCAATAACACTTCAGTTGATTAAGTCATATCACCTCGGTGGAAGCGGACGTAAAATACAACTAACTCACGCACATTATACAAAAACAAAAAAAGACATGCTCATCGCTTGAAAGACTGTTACATTTCACTCACCTTTAAATAACCTGGAAAAGAAACCTCTGATTCCCCGACTCCGTTTGGAAGCCATATTGATCGACAGGAAATCAAAAAATAATATGTTGATCACTTTTCTTAACACTGTAAATCTCTCCGCCAAAAACCTCTCAGACGCTAATTATTATTATAACCTGGTAAAGTGTTCTTAATGTAAACTATAACATCCAAAATTCCAACACTAAATGAAAACCAGATGAATCATCAAAAACAAATTATCCATTTGATGGAATGAACAATTAAGAGGAGAATAATCAAATCCTAAAGATTATATTTAAAAATAAATATCTTCACTGGCTAAAATTCACTAATAAATGCAATGAAATGCTTTTAAAATCAGTGTCTGTATTAATAATTCCAGTGACCACAAAAAATTTCAATTCATCTGGTTTGAAAATAAAAATCTGAATTGATCCTTTTAGCAGTCCATTTCCTTTTTTTACATTTAATATTAAAGTTATATTTTATCAAATGTTTTCACATCTAGATGTATAATATCAGTCAGAGAGATCGACAAAAATCTCACTCAGAACAGTCGTTGCTTTTCTTCATAGAAACAGATTTTGAATTGAAAAAGATTAATCAAAACAGATGCTATGTCAAATAAACAATAAGTCTTTTATACGTCACTGTCTGAATTTTCCGAGTTAAATAAACATATCATTTCTTATTACACAGAACAATCTTGCAGATCATTAAACAAATAAATATAAATTCAAAATGGTGTCTTTATGAACTACCGAATAAAGAATTATGGCTGTATTTTTCTTGCACTAACTCCAGGTCAGAAACCACATCGACACCAAATGGTCTAATTTTAAAACTTTATATACTAATAAAATCGTATATTACTGGTTGAATACTGATTAATTTTAAGTCATTAAATATGAACTCCAATCAACATTACGTTAATTAACTCTTGAATATTAATAAATGTCAAATTTCTATTAATTATCCAATCATCATGTCTGGTGTAATCTAATTATAGAAGAAATAAGCAGATTTCTAACATATGTGATATTGTTAGTTTATTTTATTGCTATGTGTACATATTATTATTTGGATATTTCAGGCTTTCACAGATAAATAGGTTTGAGTTTTACAAAAAGAGAAGTATTTAGTCACTAATTATACTATCCTCATTTAACACTGCTTCAAACTAATTTCATCAAAATACGAATCAAATATCATATGAAAAAACCTCAAAAGGTAAAACAGATTTATAAACTATAGATTTATAAAACATAAACAACCCAGAGGAAAATTAATCATAATAAACATTATTTATGTTGAATCCGAAAAAAAAAAAAGAAATGCACTTGGTATATGAGTAAATTTAACAGCAAGCTGACTCATTAAGAATATGGTGAAATTATAAAATGTTTCCTGTTTTAATTATGTAAGTAGAGATGAGAATTAATTGGTTTATAACTAATCACACAAATCATTAACATCTGTTTTACATTAACTGGGCACAAACCTCATTTAATAGTAATAAAAAACACCAAGTTTAAAAATACATTCACCATTAAAAAAAAATCTGCTTATTTCAGGGAATTTATTTTTGCTTCAATGTTATATAAATTATTAATTAGACAAGCCCATAACCAACTCTCCAGACCATCATATAGCTGTAATATTGAACATTATATAGCGTTAAAATGGAAAATCAAAACGATAATCATTTATTATCGTAGCAATCGTATTTGACAATCAAGGCTATCTTGTCAAAACTTTGCTCAGAATTAAATAATTTGACAGATGCAAAATCCTAATTATGATGGCAAAAGGATATGAAGAAGGATGGGACACTTTAGGACTAAATTTTATCGTTATGCCATCCTGTGTGAAAGTTCTTAAAGAGTGAATCCATTTGGAATCAAAAAGTTTCCCATCCTCAGTATCACTATTATATAGTGGTATCGTTCCGTTCTACTCCACTAAGCTCTGGGGTCCATTCTTGGGGAAGACACATAGTCAAATTACCTGCCCTTGATACATGTGCTACTTTTATCGACCAATCGTGTGGGCGAACTGGCGAAGGGAAGTAACTCACATTTTATTGCAACTAAGACTATTATGGTGAACGTAAACAATGACGCCAAGACTGGTATATAAACTTCTTTTTGATTGGTTTGTAGAATCAACCTATGATCAAGGGCAGATAATTTGAATTTGTGAAAACCCTGTGAATGGACTCAGAGGTTAGTGGAGTAGAACAGAACGATACCACTGGGGATACTGAGGATGAAAGTTTCCTAGTGGCATCATTTTTGTCACAATTAGGGTAAGTGTTCTTTGATTCCCTATTGTCGTAGAAATGTCAACATTTATCGGAAAAAATAGACGTTTGCCTGACAATACATAACAGTACTTGGAGAAAATAACAAAAAGAGAGGGGAAACCCAAATGGTGACACTTTTTTAAACTTGTCATCTGCTTGTGCACAACGACATAGCAACTTTAAAGGTGTATGAGGCAATGAATCCACACATTCAAATAATCCAACATAATAATGGAGCATCTTTTGTATAAAAATGTATATTTCTCGGCAACTAATGAACCCATTTACTACATCTTTAAAAATTTATAAAAAATTGAGCATCCTGACTTGACTGAAACCCGGTGGACTACCCCCACAGGAACTTTCTCGGCAAACACCAGGATCGAACCTGGGCAGATGATAAATGAACAGGACTGATTGTCAATGAAGTATCATGCAATAAATGTAAATATGTCACAAAAAAACAAAATCATATTTATACTTTCATATTAAACATACTATTATTTATAATTAAAGTAGATGTTCCACTCATTACTGTATTCTGCCATTTCCACAGTAAAATAAAGATTGTGTTTATGATGCACTGGCAAAATCAGAACTGGTAATTGTCTAGTGAAGAGAGTAAAAACTTGACTAATAGTTTATTTCTGCACACAAAATACATCCCCATCCTTTAGTTTGGCGATATCATTTTTAAAGATTTATTCTTTAATTATAGGGTGCACTTCATTGAGGGTCCGTATAAGTTTATCTGAGCAGCTCCTTTTTGTTAGAATACAAAAAATGGGTCATCTCCTTTAAACAAATGTTATAATTTAAGCACTGCAAGCTGTATGTATGAGTATTGAACAAAGGGAAGTAACTATGTTTAACTTGCAACATCAAACAATTCATCTACACTGAATATTTTTACTGACATAATTATCACAATACTTATTTTATTTCATAAATAAATATCACATAAATTACTATAATCAATTATTATACAAACAATTAAAAATATAGAAAACAAAAACTGATAAAATCATAAACATGCTTATAAATTTATAAACAATTCGTATTATGATAAAAAAAATATGCTTATTGTAAGGATCCAAAAGTTTTAATATGAAGGGGGTTGTAGCCATTGCAGTTTCTTATCTACTTCTACATTAGGTCTAATAGTTATTCTGTTTCATCCGAACATATCGGACATGTCAGTCTGGATTGACGTAAGTCATGGCTGCGAATATGCCGAATTGGATATCAAGATAATTATGATAAATTATAAGCTCAAAATTCCAGTAGTAATTCTTTTTAAATGTTGTTTGTACTGAATATTACTAATATTAGGAAAATGACAGCTCATAAACATCAATTTTCGAAAATCATATAAAAAAAATGCAATGGCTATAGTTCCACTTTTTTTTAGCATTTAATAAAAACTTATATTAATAATAAACTGATAACAGCAACATTAGCCAGCAGCAAGCAGATTAAATATGTTTATAAATATTATCTCAAACATAGCACTGGATACAAACTCAAAACGAAACATACAATGCAACAATTGTTAACGTGCAAACAGGGGAGATAAGTTGTGTTAGACTTACTAGAGGCTTTAGGTGTTTTAATCAGGGAAGGCTTACGAGAGTTATCTTTCTTGATAGATTTCTCGTTAACTTTAGGGAGCACCTTTTTTGGTGTCCTTACCACTAAAAATATGAAACATTAAAACAATCAGTGACTCGTCTCCAAGCAAACTGCCGTCATTCATTACACAATTGTCCGTATATAGTATAGCGTCACAATACCTCTGCCGTGTGTCTTATTGACACCAATGTTAAAGTGAAACACGTGTCACAGTAATCTCAACCAAGATATCGTCATTACACAGTTGCCTATATATATATATATACCTTGGTCGCGAACCTTCTCGACACCTAGCCGATAATGAAGCCTATGTCACGATGATGTCCTAATTACAATTTATAAAAAGACACTATAACTCGTCTGCAAAATTCATTGACATCAGCGTTAAAATGAAACACACATCAGGGTCCTAATATAATGTCTACCTTTTCATTAGTGTGATTTGAAATTTCACTTTTTGATTCTTGTTGACGCGACCTTAAAGTAAACGCGTCATAGTGATGTCCTATTGTCTGAAATAATACTTTATGAAAAAAAGAACGTCATAAAAAGGTTAATAAAAGCTGACATGGCAAAATCAATTTCAGGTTAATACATTTTGTTAATGACATCATCCATTCATACATTTGGATACGTCTATATATGCGTTCGAGCATCGAGCACAGGCTTGCAACTTAAAATGCATGGATCATATATCAGTAGCTTTATTAGTTAAACAAAAAACAATTTACATATAAACAACTAGCAATAACTTAAAAAATTATGTAAATTCTGGGATGAGATGATTGGGAAACAAGAATCTGAATAGTTCAAGAAATAACAGAACTGGACAGAACACTGATATAATGGCAGTGATTCTAAGACATGTGAATGATTCGAGTGAGAAAATAAGCCTAGATCTTGACAAAGTTTTAGTGATAAAGGAATGTTAAATAATATCAATTCATGCAAGATCACCTCTGAAGATTAAAGGGAGATAATTAGAATACTCTGGAGACAAAAAAAGAGATCATTTGAATACTCTGAAGATTAAAGAGAGATCATTTGAACACTCTGAAGACTAAAGGGAGATAATCAGAAAACACTAACCTGGTGGTATTGTGCTTTTCACGGTTCTTTTATTATTGGGTGTGGCTAGCGATTTGTCATCTGGTTTCTTTATGTTTTTATTGTTTGAAACTTTTACAGATCCCTGAAAAAAAAGACTTTAATTAAGGCAACGTTACATTAAGGGTCCAGTCATCATTTGTCTGAAAACGTGAATAGGGTAAGTAATCAGGATTTTTTGATTTTTTTAGAGAGGGGGTCAAAGAGAATTCAAACTTCAGAAATTGTCGCATTGAGATATCAAAAATTTGAAGCATTCCTACTATAAATATTTTGATGAAAATGATAAAATTAACGTACCTGTGATTTATCTGATTTAATACTGGATACACTTGATCTTCTACTTTCAGCTGCTAGTTTCGTTAATGGTGTGGATATAGATGATCCTAAAAATAACATATTAATCATATCTTATTATTTTAAATATAAAAAATTCTTATCACTCCACTAAGGGCAGGAACACATAAGACAAACTCATAACAGGTCTACTCACACAGGCCCGCTTCCTCACCTACCCCGCTTAAAGTCAAAAGTTGCAAGTAATTACTGTTGTTTAATTCTAGAAAGGAACCAGATGACTATGCAATCATCATACTGTGTCCTTACACAAAAGGCAAGTCAAATTTGTTTCCAAGGAAACATAACAATTATTAAACCGAGAAATGCCTGATTAGCAAAAGACACTACTTCTACTTAAATAGGTTGATGTGTTTACACAGTTTCATAAATATATCTTGTGTGGTCCTTGAGAAATGCCCTGGAAATAAAAATGCTATAGAAGGACCTACCCCCATCTCAATAATCCATCTGGGAGACTATTTTTGGCATAAATTTGGGATTTTCTGCACTCCTGAAGTTAGCCTGTAGTTTTCAGATATAGCAAACTACAAATATCGTAACTAGGGTCCGTTCTATCAGAAGCCGTCATCAATTCTTGTTCCCAGAGAAATGGTCAAGGATCAGGGGGTTGTGTCCCCACTATGGTGTGGGATAGTTTCCAGAATAATGAGGAAACTGAGGAAGCCACAAATCAAAACTTTTACCCATATATCATTAAAGCGTAAAAAACTTACGTGGTGTTCTGTTATTATGGTTGCCATGGTTATTCACCTCGCTACTGACATCCGTTCGACTGCTACGGGTAGAATTAACCCCTGACCCCTGTAAACTCCCTTCAATCTTCTTATCTACCTTTGACCCTCTTCGACTGCTAGCGGTTGCGTCTGCTTTAGGGGTTGCTGTCATGACTGACAGACGGCTCTTGACTTTACTGTAGTCGGGTTTCGGTGCGTGCATTATCACACTACGAGGTTTGGTTTCCTTTTTCGGAGGTTTTTCCTTTCGTACCGGAGTCGGTGCGGGTGTCGAAAGATATTCTTGAAGTTTACTTTTAACTTCTGTCTTGACGGCAGGCGGTTTGTCGTCTTTGTGGGCATCGATCTGAGACATGATGGAACCCCATTTACTCTTAGGTGGTGTCCGCTTTATTAATTTCGGAGGTTCTTTTTCGACCTTCACCTTTTTTGTGCTCTCTGTTTTCTGAATATTCGCCACATTTTTGTCTGTCGATTTGTTTTTGTCTAAGTTTATCTTGATGAAGTTTTTCTTGTTTTGGGCATCGTCTTTTGGCTTAGGCGGTGGTGCTGGTGCGTTGATGTAGTCAGCTAATCGAGACGTGACTTTAACATTGGGTTTTTTATGATCAGTTTTTGCTGCATGTTTCGGAGATGTTTTTGCACTTGATACTTTACAGTTCTCGGTTCCGTCGTCTGCGTTGTCAGCCATATTGTCTGTTGATTCTTTTTCGTTTTCGGTTTTATCGACGACTGAGACCACGTCACAACTATTTTCTGTGCTGGGTGAATTTGTATCTTGTGATGTCGTGCTAGTTTGTAAAGTTTTATCACCACTGACACCATCAACATCGTCAATAACTTGATCAGCTTCAATTCGATCATCTTCGCTATTATGAGATGAATTGGATCTTAGTTCCTGAAGATACAAACAATGTTATAAGTTTTGATTCAACATTTTAGCGCTATAGAAATAGCTTGCACGCTACAACATTTCAACAAATAAATCTCTAATAGGAATATCAGTTCAAGAATTGTTCAATTCCTTTCGGTATTTACAATGACATGTGGAATTGAAATTTCACTGATCTATGCTGCTGTGTTATAATTAACCCACCAAAATTTTGTTGTCTGTGAAAATATAATGAAAGGCCTGTTTTAAATTTGATTGAATCAAAGCCGTGGCACTATCTAGCGTTGGTATTTTAATTTTGTTAAATTATCAATCCGAATAAAATTTAGCATGGATTAAGAAGTGAGAAATTTTATTTTTTTGCAAAAATGATGCATCATTACTTTAATGGAGAAAAGCACTCCTTGAATTTGATCTTCTTGCAAAACAACCCACAAAAAACTCAGCATGCAACCACTTGAAAAGATACACCCACTTGAGGTAATCGAAATGATAGCAGTCTAACCAGTACTAATTGGATATACTTATTGAATGAATGGAATAACATGGAGGGTCTTTATAGTACTATTTCACATAAGTTCTCATTGACATAAAGCAATTTCTACGTGCTTTGAAAAGCAATGGACAATAACTGACGAATCACATAAGTATTGGACAATAACTCACAAATAATTCACAAATTGCATTCAAAGTTTCATTAAAATCAGAAGAGACATTTATTAGGAAGTTTGGGCAGATGGGCATGTGATGACAATCATATATGTTGATATCAAATGTGGGCGTATAAAAAGGTAAACGATAATTGATGGGAACTCTCTGATATTAATTAAATCAAACATCTGTAGTTGAGAAACTTTGATATTAATAATTAACTACGTGGTTTATCTGTTGAAATGTAAATAACCTTACCGGAGCTATATCAATCTTTAGAGTAGAACTATTAATATTGGTAGGATCGGAGGCATCTGTTTCACTGTAAAATATCAAAATTATTCAATGATGAAATATATATCATAATGAGATGCAGATTCAAAGGAGAGTGGAAGAGAGGGACACTGGGTTAAACATCCACTTGACACAAACTGGGTCATTTCAGGGCTAACATTATATTTCAAGCAGGCGGCCCTACTCCTTGTCACATATACCAGCAGAGAAACCACGCTGCTTGACTCAATGACCTTATGATCTAAAGCTATTGTGTTAGACCATTCAGCCACTCTACTCCACTGTTCCTGGTTCCAATCCTGGCATGGAATGGGAAGAGAGAGAGAGAGAGAGAGAGAGAGAGAGAGAGAGAGATGTTATGATCAAACAAGAATTGGAAGAATATCAGAATTGTTCAAATCCAGTTTCCACATGTCAGGGAGAGCACCTGCGGGTCATGTCAGGGGGAGCACCTATGGGGCAGCCTAGTTGATTGTGTAAGAAGAAGCAAGTTCCATTCGTGTACAAGCAGACATGCACATAAGAGAACCTTGACATCTGGAATTCAATAAGAGTAGGTAGAAATGCCACTGTCTGGGCAAAATTCTCCTCATTACATTGCATACATGACCAAAGAAAAAAAATGTATACAAGTCTCAATATGACTGATATCTTATCAAGACAAGACGTTAAACTTGATTCGTTTCCTTGACAGTAAAAGCATAACAAACTTACTGATCTGTCTCTGTATCATGTGTTGTTCCACTAACATCCGAATCTACTGAAATCTGGGCGCTAATTATGTGCTTCACTTCTTCTGAAATAAAACATGCTGACATAGAATTACATCCTTTAATACACATAAAACATCAATCCTAATACACAAACCATTTGACTTCTACTGATAATAAACATCACCACTGGAATAATATTTCGAAGTATTCTTAATAAGTTCAACTTTATCACAAATTTTGGAATAATGTTTAAAAGATAACTATTCAATCGAAAATATCACTAAGTGCTATTATAAATAAAATTCTACATATTAAGAAATGTGTGTTTAACAGCCTACTTTTCTACCTCGACTGGGCTATATAATGAAGACGGTCATTTAGTAACTGAACTGGAATACACAGTACACAACTGAATAAATTTCTTAAAGAACCAAGTTGTAAATTCATTCAATAAAACAGTACTGGTAATAGTATTCCATAGAGTTGAGTGGGCAGTTGCAACTTTAGTTTGGACATGTAGCACATGAAGACTATATATACTACAGAATCCTATTCCAGAGATCGCTCCAGTAATAAACATTATAAATTGTATTCCATAGAGTTGTGACCTGTGTATTTTAAGAAAGAACCTGTTACTCTTACAAACCCTGATGGTTAATGATTTGAATTGCATAGGAGGTGCAGATCTTATACCAAATTTAATAGATGATTGCAGGCAATGTTCTTAATCTATCTTTTATAATCTTAATTAAACAATAGATTAATTGGGAGCTGGCATACAGTGTGGTGTGTAGTAGATTTACAATGGGTGATAATTATCTCTAACAAGTAACCCCCTCTCTAAATACAAAATAAGATAGGTCATTAATATGTTTAGTACTTTAAGTGTACAAAGTAACCACACTTATCTGTACAATGTAAAACAATTCAGGTTTTATCCTTACCAATGGATTAGCTCTATTTTACAACTCATACTATTAAACTTCTTAACAACAGTTCACTCTATTTGTACCTGGTAATTAACCCTTCCAACCAATATACAACTACTCAACAGTTCATTATTAACCATTTCAACACTAAAAACTCCACCACAGATTATTGTTCCAGTTGTTCAAAATATTTACAAGTAAACACAATGATAACCAATGGATTTTTTTTATCCCTGACGAAGATTATGAATGAGGATATCAGAAAGGAACATATGTCGCCCCTGAACATCCGTCCGCAATTTGTTTGGAAACAAATTATCCGATTTTATCAGATTTTGACAAAAACTTGAAATACAGGATTATCTCCCCATGGTTCCGTTCGATGTTGGCATTTATCGGAAAGTAACTTCATGGATTATGGCAACTGATTGTACGAAAAAATTGTGTTTTTAGCTTGTGGACCGTCTAGGTCACAATTCTTATCCGATTTCAGAAAACGTTTCGATATTTCCTCATTATACCATAATGATAATTGAGTTCCGTTTTCTTGAAAAGCAGACCGAAACTGCTTGACAAAATGGCTGCTCAATGTATGCAAATAGTGTAAACGTCCGTATGTAATACCAAGGTTGTTGATGCTCTAGAGGTCACAATTTTAATGAAACTTAAAATGAATGTTTATATCCCAAAGATCTTGGTCTCTTTAGATATTTACTCAATACGAAAATAAACCTTCAATATTCTTTCCATATAGCCAGATCACTTAAGCCAAAAAAACAAGACAGGAAGCTTAAATTTCACAAAAACATTCACTTTTAAAAGATGATTGTTTCAGCTGTTATTGCTGGTGGTAGTCTGTATAGGGACATATGGTCATATTTAACACAAGCAACAAGTCAGGTGTCAACATCATAATCCCACATAATCCAATAGATTAACATGAATGACCTAATGATTATACCTTTAATCACAGGTGATTATAACTACAGCTTGGAATGGCTGGGGCTCGATGGGTCCCAGGTTGGAGGAGTGTAGTTTTATATCTCAGGTAATTATACATTTACTGTATTATAGCTTGGGTTTTTGGTGGGTGTGTCTCAGGTGGGAGCAGAGCAGTTTTAAAGACGGTCAGTGTATTATAGCTTGGACTGTGGGAGGAGAGAACTCAATGCACTATAACTTAGCCGTTTCCAGGTGGGAAATGAAATGAAATGGAGTTTAATGTCCGACTGTTCTGCTCTGACTTGGCTAATGAAGACAGGCATACACTATACAGTGTGGTATGAGGGAAATTTTGCCCGGACAGCGGCACTACAGCCTACTCTTACATCAAATTCCAAATGCCAAGGGATCTTTTATGTGCACACCAATGTGTACTTGGGAACTCGGTTTTTTATCCCATTTGAATGACTAGACAGCTGTCCTTGTCACGGCCTCTGTCCTGCACCATGACAAGGGGAAACCATGCTAGAAAATCCTGATGAACTTTCTCAACCAACACCAGGAAAGTTCCCGCAACCTACAGACTAGTGAGCCAGCGTCTTCCTCAATGAGCCACCGTGGCTCCTTCAGCTGGGAGGGCAGTACATCTTTTAATTTTTAAGAGAGCCATAATATTTTTAGTTCACATATATTTAAATATTCAAATTCAAATAATCTTTAAAGCTAATTAAACTGATTATTTTGTATGATAATTAAAATGCGCTATTTAAAGTATTTTTTTTTTTTTTTTTTTTTTTTTTTTTTTTCGGAAAATCATTTATTGTTGTGTCAGAAGAATTATACACTACAAAGTATACTATACTATACTATACAGTAACCCCGCCCCCAAACAAACTACACGGATACCAGTGTCTAAAAGCGTACATACTAATTAAGTGAATACTAATTAAGTGAGGAAGGTTGACACAGGGAAAAGCTCAGCTGAAAAGACCCTCAAAATGTTTCCATCTATCATGAACTTTGTCACCAATATAATTTGTTCTTTTTCAAAATAGCATGATAATTCTTTTTTAAATACCTTCAAAATTGGTTTATTTTCTCCAAGCCGTTGTTTATATATATGTAACTTAGCTAAACTATATATCAAATTTGGAATTTTGTTATCATCAGTATCAATGCCAAATAAACATTTTATCAAGGTGATATCAAAATCATTGTTTGCCTTTAGTTTAATCCAGCTTCCTAATTCTTTCCAATATACCTGTACATGTTCACAGCTGTAATAAAGATGTATTAATGATTCAGTTTCTTTTTTGCAAAAGGTACATAAATCTGATTTAAAAATTCCAATTTTAGCTAAAAATTTATTTGTACCAATTATTCTACTATTGAGTCGAAATTGAAACCATTTCAGCCTAGTATCGACGGTGAAATCAAATGATTGCTTGTAAATACGAGCCCATTCTTCTAAAGTTAATTTCATTCCTAGATCTAATTCCCATGAGTTTTCGGATTTAGTTTTTTGAATTTTTTTATCTAAGAAATGTGTGTAGAAATATTTTGCCCCAGTATCAAACATAGAGATGAATTCAATAATTTGAGGGTAAATGGGTAATATTAACCTGACATCTACTGTTTTAGCATTTATGTTGTTTAAAGTAGTCCATTTAGCAAGAAGTGATTGTTTTAATCCATACAGGTCTGTAAAGTGTGGAGAGAAATTATAGATAGATTTGAACGTGTCGTATGTCATAAAAACACCTTTATCGAAAAGATCATAAACATACTTTATTCCTTTTTGATGCCAAACATCAAAATATATTGTTTTATTGTTTATTTTTATATTTGAATTGTACCACAATGGCTGACGTAGAATATTATGTATTTCGTTATCTTTCGGTTTTAACTTAATTAGCGCAATACTTATATAATTAAAAACCTCTTGCCAGAAAGACAATTTTGTACGCTTTGATAGTTTATAGAAATAATCATCCCCGAAAGAGCCAACCAACAACTGTTTATCTGGTAAAGAATTAACTAACAATTTTGCCCAGGCAGTGTTTTGATGTTTTAATAATCTTCTAAACCAAGTAATTTTTAACGACTTTGAGTATGCTATTATATCAATGATTTTACATCCACCATTTTCAAAATTTTGAACCATAGTTTTTCTGGACACTCTTTCAGCTTTATTACCCCAAACAAATTTATATAACGATTTCTCTATATTTTTTAAGTAAGATATATCCGGTGAAGGTAGACTTGTTAGTAAATGATTTAATTTTGGTACTAATATTGACTTTACGACAGTTATTCGACCGAGTACAGTTAAATTTCGTTTAGACCAATTTGACATCAAGTGACAAACTTCTTGCAACTTAACATTATAATTCAGGTCTATTATCTTATCGATATCAGTACTGTATTTTATTCCTAGGGCCGTAAATTCCGATATTTCCCAGATTAAATTTTTTTTAACATTTAAAAATCGTTCTTGACTTCCTCTTAATGAACCTATCCAAACACAACAAGTTTTTTCTAAGTTTGGTTTTAAACCTGAATATTTTGCGAATTCATTAAGAAGATTCAAGGCCTGTCTAAGAGATTTTTCGCTACCGTCAAGTGTCAGAGCAGTGTCATCCGCATATTGTACGATTTTTTGGTTTTTATTCCCTAAATTAATTCCTTTAATGTCTTCCTCGTTTCTTATTAAACTACCCAAAATTTCAACGCATAGCAAAAAAACATAGGGCGATAACGGATCGCCCTGTCTACAGCCACGTCCGATGGCGAAGAACTCACTCGATTTACTAAATTGTTTAACACAGAGCTTAAAATCAGTATTAAAAATGTTCACCCATTTCCTGATTTGTTGTCCAAAATTAAAGAATTTTAAAGTTTTATCAATAAATCTCCATGAAATGGAATCAAAAGCTTTCTCGAAATCTATAAGAACAATTAGTCCGGGAATATTTTCAATTTCTGTATACTGCAAGATATCAAATAAAAGTCGTGTATTCTCCCTAATAAATCGCCCAGTTAAAAAACCCTTTTGATCCTCATGAATGAGATAATTTAAAACAGATTTAATACGTTTTGCTATAACGGCTGATAGAATTTTGTAGGAGGTATTTAGCAATGTAATTGGTCTCCAGTTTTTGATGAATTCCCTTGGTTTATTCCCTTTTGGAAGTATCGAAACAATACCGAGCCTTTGTGTTTCTGATAAGATACCCGCCTTTAGTGAATAATTAAAGGATCTGACAAGGAAAATTGATAAGTCTGGCCAGAAAAACTTATAGAATTCATTCGAATAGCCATCACTTCCACTGCTCTTATCAGGTTTCATATGTTTTAATACAGACAGAGCCTCACTAGTTGTTATCTCCCCCTCTAGACTATCCCTTTCATTGTTACTAAGAATGGTAATGTTATGGTCCGCTAAAACTTCATCAAGATTAACATCTTCTAACATCTTAAAGTATTTGGTAATATCAGAGAGAGAGAGAGAGAGAAAGAGAAATTGGGTTTAACATCCACTCGACACAAACTAGGTCATTTCGGGACTAACATATGGTTTATTTTATTTCAATAATTCGCTTGCGCGTAGGGGTCTTTAGCAGACTGAGGAACCCGGAGGACCTGGAGAAAACTCACGAGGTTGGACAGGCGACCCTAATCCTTGTCATCATGTACAACCGGAGATTCGAAACCACGCCAGTTGACTCAATGACTGGCATTATGATACAGCATGCACGTGCTAAACATTCGGCCATCCACCACCCCCCACCCCCCTTTGATAATATCAGTTCAGTATGTGATGATACCACTAAATAATATTTGTATAAATTTGGGAATATTTTGATTTTATGGAAACCAGTTAATTGTACCTGGTCGACTAATATTTGACAGTAAACCTTCTTTGAAGTAATCTAAAGGGGCATTGGAAGATTAGATAGAGTTGGCGGTTTACACTATAATAGTTAACAAGCCAACAGTGAGGCTGATGTCCCCCGCCGAAATACCGAAATAAAAAGATGACACATATTAATTAATCGCACATTTATTTTTTTCAAAAGTATCAAGCATTTAAACCATACATTAAGTTTCATCATTCTCTACCAGACAGAATCAAGATTATCTTGTCCCAAACCATCGACAAATGAAATCAATTAGCTCTGCTTAGCTAGCGTCAGCTCAAAATGTTTATCATTGAACTCAGTCAAGACATTCACCTAATGAACATCTACATCAAGTTTAAACATTCTCCTAATGAACATCTACATCAAGTTTAAACATTCACCTACGCCAAGTTTAAACATTCTACCTCAATTAGGAGAGTTATTGTGTTCCAAAGTCTCAACCAATCAAATTGCTTATCACTCTGCTTACCCTGAGCAGAAAATGCTCATAATCGAACTTAGTCAAGTTTCATCACTCTCACTTAATTAGAACTAAAGTTATCGTGCCCCAAAGCATCAACCAATCAAATTGCTTCCCCTAAGCAGAAAATGCTCATCTTCGAATTCCATCAAGACACTGACCTAATAAACACCTGCACCAAGTTTGACCATTCTAGGTAAATTAGAAAGAGTTATTGTGTCCCAAAAAGTGTGACAGACAGACAGACGGACGAACCCATTTTAATAGTCCCCTGCTTTCTTCGAAAGGCGGGGGACAATAAAGTGAAAAGAGGGCCATAACTCTAACTCTAGACGTAATAAACAGAAATTCAAAGGGCTTCTTCGTTTCACTAATTTAAATAATGCATATAAATTTCACAAAGATTGGATGATAACTTTTGGCGTTCAACAAAATGAAACAAGGGCCGTAACCCTTGACGTAATAAACGGAAATTATTAAAATTAATTGGACTCCTTCATCTTACTAATGTAAACATATATCAATTTCAAAACAATTGGATCATAACTTTTGGCGTTGGGGCATGTACAAGAAATCGTGGACAATATACCTCCACATTTATACGTGGGCGTATAAAAATTGTGACCTTGAGAGGGCCCACTAGCTAAAAATAATCTTTTGTACAATCAGGGGGCATAATCCATGAAATATTTATCCGATACATGCCAATATCGAAAGGTACCGGGACATAAACATATATTTCAAGTTTCATCAAAATAGGATAAAATGAACATTTTAACTCAATTCGAAGGAGAGTTATTGTGTTCCAAAGTCTCAGCAAATCAAATTGCTTATCGCTCTGCTTAATCTGAGCAGAAAATGCTCATTATCGATCTTAGTCAAGGTATTACTGTAATGAAACTATACACCAAGTTTCATCACTCTCACTTAATTAGAACTAAAGTTATAGTGTCCCAAAGCATCAACCAATCAAATTGTTTATCTACTTAATTAGAACTAAAGTTATAGTGTCCCAAAGCATCAACCAATCAAATTGTTTATCTCTGCTTACCCTAAGCGGAACGGACAGACAAACAGACAGACGGACGAACCCATTTTAATAGTTCCCTGCTTTCTTCGAAAGGCGGGGGACAATAAGCATGAACATTTACTCAATTCGAAGATCAACCAATCAAATTGTTTATCTCTGCTTACCATAAGCGGAACGGACAGACAGACAAACAGACAGACGGACGAACCCATTTTAATAGTTCCCTGCTTTCTTCGAAAGGCGGGGGACAATCAAAGTAGGAGAGTTATTGTTTTCCAAAGTCTCGACAATCAAAGTAGGAGAGTTATTGTTTTCCAAAGTCTCGACCAATCAAATTGCGTATCGCTCTGCTTACCCTGAGCAGAAAATGCTCATTATCAAACTTAGTCAAGGTATTACTGTAATGAAACTATACACCAAGTTTCATCAATCTCACTTAATTAGAACTAAAGTTATCGTGTCCCAAAGCATCAACCAATCAAATTGCTTATCTCTGCTTACCCTAAGCGGAAAATGCTCATCTTCGAACTCCATCAAGGCACTGACCTAATCAACACATACACCAAGTTTGAACATTCTAGCTCAATTAGGAAGAGAGTTATCGTGCCCCAAAGTATCAACCAATCAAATTGCTTATCTCTGCTTACCCTAAGCGGAAAATGCTCATCTTCGAACTCCATCAAGGCATTGACCTAATAAACACATACACCAAGTTTGAACATTCTAGCTCAATTAAAAGTTATCGTGTCCCAAAGCATCAACCAATCAAATTGCTTATCTCTGCTTACCCTAAGCGGAAAATGCTCATCTTCGAACTCCATCAAGGCATTGACCTAATCAACACATACACCAAGTTTGAACATTCTAGCCCAATTAGGAAGAGAGTTATCGTGTCCCAAAGCATCAACCAATCAAATTGCTTATCTCTGCTTACCCTAAGCGGAAAATGCTCATCTTCGAACTCCATCAAGGCATTGACCTAATAAACACATACACAAAGTTTGAACATTCTAGCTCAATTAGGAAGAGAGTTATTGTGTCCCAAAAAGTGTGACGGACAGACAGACGGACAGAAAGACGGACAGACAGACAGACAGACAGACAGACGGACGAACCAATTTTAATAGTCCCCTGCTTTCTTCGAAAGGCGGGGGACAAAAACTAGATAAAGTAAAGGGAATATGCTGAAAATCTCAGTCAAATTGCTCAACTCCGAACCGAGATATTAACGATTGAATTTTAGGCATAGCCTCTATCATCATTACTAAAGTCATTACACAGTATCGATTTTCCATTTTTGAGCGTTGAGCAGCAGATCGGATTGAAATTCAGTAAATATCGCAAGCTAGCAATGACATCGATAGCTGATTATGGTCTGGATAATTTAATTAATGTCTAATTAATAAGGTAGATAACATTTCAGACCTAACGAAAAACCTGAAACATGCAGATTTAGCTCTTGCATAATGTATGTTTAAATCCTGATTCCTTGTTTATGGTAGACTAATATTCAACAGTAAACCATCTTTGAAATAATTCCCGTCGTGCTTCCTTGTGTATGGGACTTGAGTAAACATGTACATGTATCTATATGATTCCCTGTATTCATATGGAACCTATTTAACGTAATAACAGTAGAGAATTGATTTATTTTGTTGCTTCACTTATTTCATTTTCTTAATGAAATGCTCAGCCCACGTGTTTATTATAAATACGTTTTAACAGGTGTTCCTCAAGAAGAGCAAATCAAACTGGTGTGACCTAATAAATAACTAACACAGATCCTGTCTTACCCTGAAAACTATCTTGGTACTGGATAATCTGACTTTCTGTCATTGAGGTATGATCGCCCAGTCTTTCTGGCCATTCTGGTGAATTGGTTGTTTTGGTGCCACACTCGGAATCAGTATCTGGAACATATCCTGAAATAAATATATAGAATACTAAGACCAATATCATAGTGTATGCAACCTTCATATATACGACTGAATTCAATTTCCTACAAGTCCCAGATTTCATTTTTCTGCACCAACAAAGAGAGAGAGAGAAATTGGGATTCACTAGGTCATTTCGGGACAAACATATGGTTCAATTTTATATTTCAGTCATTCGCTATTGCATGGGGGGGCTTTAGTAGTGTAGGGGGGTGGATGGCTGAATGGTTTGCACGTGCGTGCTGTATCATAAGGCCTGTCATTGAGTCAACTGGCGTGGTTTCAAATCCTCGGTTGTATGTGACAAGGATTAGGGTCGCATGTCCAACCTCATGGGTTTTCTCTGGGTACTCCGGTTTCCTTCCACTGCTAAAGACCCCTACGCGCAAGCGAATTATTGAAATAAAATTAAACCATATGTTAGTCCCGAAATGACCTAGTTTGTGTTGAGTGGACGTTAAACCCCATTTTTCTCTCTCTCTCTCTCTTTAGTAGTGTGAGCAAACCAGAGAACCCTGGGAAAACCCATGATGTGGGAAGGGCTACTCTACATGTACCTCCTCATCACGTTTCAAGCGAGGGATCAAAACCACGCAGAATTATCCTCAGCTGTGACTTTAGCTGCCAACATCTAAATCGAACCCGTTTTGTGGCATCCTGTTTTTTTTTTTAAACACTATCTTTATTTAGGATATTTGAATATGATTGGGTGGGAAACAGGTTAAACATGTAAAAACCCTCCGTAACATTTCACAGTTTAAAACCCCACAAACCATAACTTTATTTTGTGTGTTTATGTGTTGTGGGTTAGATGTGTTGTCGGCACTTAGGGCATGTGACCTGGATAATAGCACAAAATAAATTTTCATATTATAAATTGGTGTGTTGTAGAGGGCCAGGGGAGAGGGAAGGGGATAGGTGGCTGAGTGGTCTAACATGTGCCCTCAGACCAGATCAGAAGATCTATCATTTAGTGGCGTGGTTTTAATCTCAGGCTTTAACACAAGAATAAGGTTGTGTACTGAACGTCATGGGTTTTCTCTGGTTACTCTGGTTTTCTACCACTCCTAAAGACCCCAACACATTGAAATACTCTGTTTGGATAAATAGATATCGTTTTTGTGTATCTATACATGAAGAAATTGGGACTTGTTGAAGAGTATTGATATCTTATCTTTTTTTATCATGTTGTACAAAGTTAGTTCGGATAACTGTTGACCAAACAAACATTTACAATATGACAGCTGTCTTATCAAACACTACTAATATAATAAACTGTATCAACCTTCATTCATGTTATAGTATCAAGGTACATAACTCTTAGCAAAACAACAAATAATCTTATCAGTAAAGACAATATCTACTCACTGAGCCACTGGGGCTTCAAATTATCTGTCAAGACAATACTGGGACTGTTTATTGAAAGTTTGGAATCCCATATCCTACAGTCAAGCACAATCTGATACTAATACAATATCTAGTACAAACCTATTATTCATAGATCAGGCTTTAATAGAGAGAGAAATGGGGTTTAACGACGAATGGACACAGACTAGGTCATTTCGGGACTAACACATGGTTCAATTTTTTATTGCAATAATTCGCTTGCCCGTAGGGGTCTTTAGCAGTGGGAGGAAACCGGAGGACCCGGAGAAAACCCACCAGGTTGGACAGGCAACCCTACTCCTTTTCAGGTACAACCGTTGAATCGAAATCACGCCAGTTGACTCAATGACAGACCTTATTATATAGCGAGCACGTGCTAACCATTCGGTCATCCAACCCTCCGGCTTCAATAGAAACCATTCATTTCATTTGATATTTGTTATTTGCTTATAATGTCTATGTAGTTTGTGTTGTTTGTTTATAATGTCTATGTAGTTTGTGTTTCTTGTCTAAAGGTTTATCTTATGGGTTTTGTTTTTGTGTGGTATAGTCCAATCTGATTAAAATACAGATCTACATTTCGTTTTGTTTTTTTAATCTTTCGATGGCGTACACTACATGAAGGTTTGACCGGTTGTAGTAAAAGGTCGTGTCATAGGTCGTACGAATGGCTTTCGACCCTATGACCTCAGGCATTGATTAATCACAATCAGCGTTGATTTACCCACAGTTCCGGGCATCGCATGCCAAGAAGTCGCCATAACAGATGGTTTCATTGGCTAATCCCTCACGCGATACAGAACACAGGTTATATAACAACTCTTCAAGATCCTAGTGTAGTACATAAAAATGAAACGAAATTTTGAAATAGGATCTGTGTTTTAACCAGATTGGGTACAGTCCAACTGCAACAGACCTGATTTACAATTAGATCATAAAGTTGTCAATGAGACATTATTATACAACCCACATCCCGCAGTGGAAATATTTGATCATATATAAATTCTCCGGACCCCATTACTTTCTCAGAAACATTTCTCCATGTTGACATGGGAGAAGTAATTTATAGCTCTATAGATCTTAATAAATATGGAGGCCTGGTTTTCATCTTCATAGGGACTTTGTCTGGGATTACTGGGAATTATTATTTCTGCAGATCTCATTTATAAAGCAGTTTAACAAGATGTCAACCATGTTTGTGAAGGCCTGATTTTCGTTGTCATAGGGAAGTTTTTGATCAGATATGGACAACCAAATCTTCTATGGCACTGTAATTTTCCAAAATTTTTTGACCCATCTGTCCAGGTCACCTCTGGTGGCCCTCTCCCTTAATCTGCCCCTGCAAGTAAGACCTTTCTCAGATGGTTTACTCCTCCATCAACCAAATACACAAAGTCCTGCGAGAACACTCTTTTTTTCTTTTGGGTATCTTTAGACTAATAAAAAGTGGGAGATTATTAGATTAAAATCTAATAATCTCCCACTTTTTATTAGACAAAGTCATTTACTGTATCTTTTTTTTTTGAGTCAAGACTAGTGTCAACCCCACTTTAATTTTGTTATCAGCTTACAACTTCAGTCCCCAATAAATATTATCTTTCTATTATTGATTATTTTCATATTTTAATTTATACACAATTTATGTAAATGTGTCTGTATTATTGTTAAGCAACATTTGAACACACTTGTCATGCACATCTAAAATGAGTATATCATCCAGGACTGAATGAACATGACATCCCAACAATGTAGCTGTAAATTCATGCAATCAATATGTTATTATCTGTTCTTGAATCTAAATTTATTCAATTAGTCAATAATAAAGAGTACACCAGGGATTTGTTGATAATGACAAGATATGAATTATTGATTAGATCAACTGCAATATCAACAATGGTATAAAGAATCTTATAACTCCATTAATTGTAGAAACTGAAATGAAACCCCATACAATCTGACTTAAATAATCCACACTTTTATTTATGTCACTTCAATTTGCAATATGAGACTGCTTATATGCGGCTTTTTTTTGGGGGGGGAAATTTTTAATCAATAAGCTGGGTTTGTTCACTGAATGGTTAATGTGTGTGCTTTAGATCATTAGGTCTGTTATTGAGTCAGTTTTGATCCCAAGCTCGTAGGTGATACATTCCATACCGGTATATATCTCTGGACCTTTGACTGCCTCAAACCGCATGAGATACATGAACAGCTCTACATGCTATAGGACCGTCTGCACTAGTTCATGGTGCGCCATATATATTTATCCGTGACTCAGGTGGTTTGGTGTGTTCTCAGGAGCACTAGTTATAGGCAGTTTCAAGAAGTCCAAATGTTAGACAATACCAATTTGTATTTCTGTTCCTTGGGAACACCTATTAAATGCGTGGGGTGTTGGATGGTCGAATCATTGGTAATTGTGCGCTGTAACATACGGTCTGTCATTGAGTCAACTGGTGTGGTTTCAATTTCCCGGTTGTATGTGACAAGGAGTAGGGTCGCCTCTCCAATCTCGTGGGTTTTCTCCAGAACCTCTGGTTTTCTCCCACTGCTAAAGACCCCTACGCGCAAGCGAATTATTGAAATAAAATTGAACCATGTGTTAGTCCCGAAATGACCAACTTTGTGTCGAGTGGATGTTAAACCCTATTTCTCTCTCTTTCTCTCTGACTCAAATTACTAATTTAAAAACAAAAAGTACTTACTTACTCTTTTCAAAAGCTTTTAGTTCCAAATATTTAAGCTTTGAGATTTCAAAACATGGCACACAAGAATTGAGTGTTAAAACATACAATAAATATTTCACTAACCTGTATCAACACTAGTTGTAGAAATAAGAGAGACTGGTCGTTCAAGTTTGTTATGTCCAGATTTCAAATCTTCACCAAGAGTTACATCACTTGTTACAAACCCAACATTAACATCACGATTATTACCTCGTTCTGATATTCCTGAATCAGTCATCAGTTTACGATCATTGTCAGTTACACTCTTGATCATATCACTTCTCACTAAACATGCGTGAATATTTTCCATTTGATGTGATCGCGTCATCGACATGGAGTCTGTCATCTGACTACTTGACATTTCAGATATACCAGAATCCATCATTAATTTACGACTAGCGTCATCGAGGCTTTTATCCATCTCGGTCTCTAACTTATCAATATTACATCGCGATATTTGTTCCGAGGTTTCGAGATCAATCAACTTTTTCTGATCGTCTATGTTAACAGGTTGGTCCATGGAGAGTTGCTGACTAGATTTCATATCTTGAGTTACATTAGCACTATTAGAATAATTGTCACTCTCTCCTCCGTGAGAAGCCATTGTGTAAGTGTCATTTAAATTCACAATTTGTCGATTACGATTCTCAATGGGAGTGGTGCTCAATTTCAGTTTGTCGAATTGACATGACAACGCGGACAGAGATTCACGTTTCTGTTTCTCATCGGCACATCCAAGTAGATTTATATCCAATAAATTAACATCGTCTAGTCGTGACGCTTCGAGAATTTCCGAACAATTACTATCAATGGTAGTATTGTTTGAATTGTCTCCCCCTTCGCGATAAGCGGCACGATTATATTCTTTACCCTCAGGAGATGGTGAATTGGATGCTACGACGTCCGGTAAATTTTTCCCAGCATACCCTGTTTCGGGGTCAAAAGTTAGATTTAAATACTGTCGGCTGTCTGATTTCAACTGCACCGAGATGCCGTTACTGTAGGTCTCTTCGGGGGTTACGCGTACCCCCTTCGAAATATTATCACTTTCACTGTCCAGTGTATAAGTGGCACACAATTCATCGTCAATCTTTTCGTATTCCGGAGAGAGAGGACTAGTAATAGGAGAGGTTATTGCACTTTTTATTTGTTCAGAACTAGACGATGATTTGATGATACTAGAATTAGAAGAGTATTTAGGTAATCGGGAGATACCTGAGATACCTGGAATGTGTGAAGGTTTGTGTTGCTTCTTTACGTCATCGCCATCTGCAGACGGCTTGTTTACGATGTCGACATCTTTACGAGAATATTCACCTCTATTTCCAGATCTGCTCCTTACAGGTGACGACGTCTGGCTACTGAGTGTCTCGTTAGAGGTCGATGCTGAAACAGAGGTCTGTTTTATTTGTTTATCCGGGGAGCCATGTTTTCGAATACCTGAACCACGTCCAGATTGTGATTTATATTGATATCGTGGCTCCCTATCCTTTGTTGTGGAAATAACATCCTGGGAATGACGACTTCTGACGATTTTCGATTCTGTCTGTTGCCGATGTTTTCTGGGAGTAATAACCGGCTCTTCTATCTCACTACTCGTGTCAACATAATCGTCTTCGAAATAAATATCTTCTTCAAGTATTGCTACTTTATCAACAGGAGCGAAAATACCGTGTTTGTCCTCGCAAGTAAAGTATCTGTGACCTTGAACCATGCCATCATGGTTTCCCTCAGGTTCGTCAAGTTCAACGCCACACCAAACACCGGTTGCGATGTGTGTTTCACCGAAATATTGTAAAGTTCCGAATTTAATTCCACCAATACACACTCTTTCCCCTATTTGAAAAGGGTTGTCCGATTCGGGTTCCGGAGAAGGGCTCCGAGGCCGTGGAGCCGCTTTGACAGGAGCTGGTAAAAAAGAACGTTTTTTACCCGGACCAGGGATCTTACTTGTGTACTGGGACGTCTGAAAAAAAAAAAAATTAAGAAGTTTTGAAAATAAAATCATAACATGACTAAAATTAGTATTAAAACTTGCCACCCAGTATCTGGAGGATGAGGACCCTGTTGCATGCAGATGTCAATGTGCATAAATTTGTGATTTACAAATTCGAGTAATTGTTTAGTGAGTAAAATAAATTGCGTGTCTAAATAATCATATTGATAAGCGCCTTGGCGGCCTATCATTGTTTTTTAAAGCAAGCGATCGCTCTTGAGCACCTGTTGCACACTTGAATGTCGACCAAGGGGAGGTTTTTCTTCCTCCCCATAAAATTGAAAATCGCTCTCTTCTAAAATACAAACAACGACTGTAGGTCTACTATTTTACTCAATGTACGAATTACTCAAATTTGTTACTAACTTTCTTAAATCAAGTGAAGAATTACTTGACTTTGTCTATAAAATACAACAGACTTAATCAGTTAGATAGAAAATATGTATGTCAATTGTAAGTAATTGAGAAACCCTGCAGTTGATTAAAATAACAAAACAATATAATACCTCGTCCATTATAAATTATTCAGAAGAATACAAATAAACTGATGTCTATGTTCTATTGTATCTTAATCATCATTCATTATATGACAATTATCACATTGTTATTATCAGGTCACATGACTTATAATATCTCTAGATTGCTTTCATTCATCATTTAAAGTAACGATGCATGATTTGTATTTCTCGGAAAATATCAAATTTCTCATGGCTTACTCCATGTTAAAGATGCATTATGTAAGAACTAAAATCTGCCCAATGTAGATCTTACGTTTGGCCTCAAATCATTAATTAGACATTAATTCACATGCCAAGCCCATAATCAACTCTTTAGACCATCGGATGGTTTTGATTTTTAACGGATTTAAACATGATTGCCAGTTAATAATTCAATTAAAACAAGAGCATCGCTAACGCTGCAATATACGTCCACATTCCAGCTTTGATTGATATATGGTACTTTTTAAAATGAAGAGAATGAAATATAAAATTGCTGTAATATGATCAGAGGCAAAGAAGGCTAGGCGTCGGGTTTGTTTTGCCAAATATCCAGAAAAATACTAACAATAAAGTGGGTGTGGCACTGCCCCAGGAGGTCGGGGCAAGCATCAAAATAAATAGTTGCTGTCTTTATGGTATAAGGAATAAATATGCAAAGTTCCAAGATGATCCATTCAGAATTGCAGCATGTAGACTATAAATACAAAAACTGGGCATGGCTCTGCCCGTTGGGGTTGGATATGGAAACAATATAAATAGGTACCATCCTGTTATTGAAATGACAACATCAATAGTTGCCATCCTTAGGGTATAAGGAATAAGTATACCAAGTTCCAAGATAATCCATTCAGAATTGTGGCCATGGGTGTTAAAGGCAAAAATTGGGCGTGGCTCTGCCCCGGGGGGTCAGGGCATTCACCAAAATCAATAGTTGATGCCCTTAGGCTATAAGGAATACAAATGCCAAGTACCAAGTTGATCCATTCAGAATTCCGGCCTGTAAATGATATAAACATAAAAATTGGGCGTGGCTCTGCCCCTGGGGGTCGTGATATGCAGTTGTCGTCTTTGGTTATAAGGAATACATATCCCAAGTTCAAAGACAATCCATAAAGAATCGTGGCCTGTAGGCAACTCACAGAGACACAAAGAAAAAATGGGTGTCGCTCTGCCCCTGGGGGTTGGGCAATCACCAAAAAACAATTGGGGGCATCCTTAGGGAAAAGGAATAGGTATGCAAAGTTTCAAAAGGAAATGTTAAGAATTGCGGCCTGTAGGCGACACAAAAGGCACACAAATTTTGGGCGTGGCTCTGTCTCAGGGGGTCGGGCAAGCACCAATAATAATAGAGGTCAGCCTTAGGGTATAAGGAATAAGTATAAAAAAGTTTTCAAGACGATCGATTAAGCATTGCAGGCTGTAAGTGACATACAGACACACAAAAAGAAAATGGGCGTGGCTCTGTCCCTGGGGGCTGGGCATTCACCACAAACAATAGGGATGTTCCTTAGGATAGAAGGAGTAAGTATGCAAAGTTTCAAGGTGATACGCTAAGAAATGCAGTCTGTAGATGACAAACAATGAATAAAAGAAATGGGCGTGGCTCTGCCACTGGGGGTCGGGCATGCACCAAAAACAATAGGGATCATCCTTAGGGTATAAGGAATTTATATGAAATTTTTTCAAGACGATCGATTAAGAATTGTGGCCTGTAGGCAACACACAGACACAAAAAGAAAATGGGCATGGCTCTGCCCCTGGGGGTTGGGCATGGACCCCAAACGATAGGGATGTTCCTTAGGTTACAAAGAATAAGTATGCAATACAAGAAATAGGCGTGGCTCTGCCCCTGGGGATCGGGCATGCACCAAAAATAATAGGGATCATCCATAGGGTATAAGAAATAAGTATGTAAAGTTTCAAGATGATCACTTAAGAAATGTGACGTGTAGGCGACACACAGACACACAAAAAGAAAATGGGCATGGCTCTGCCCCTGGGGGTTGGGCATGCACCCCAAACGATAGGGATGTTCCTTAGGGTACAAAGAATAAGTATGCAAAGTTTCAATATGATACGTTAAGAAATGCGGCCTGTAGATGACAAACAAATAAATACAAAAAATGGGCGTGGCTCTGCCCCTGGGGGTCGGGCATGCACCAAAAACAATAGGCATCATCCTTAGGGTATAAGGAATAAGTATGTAAAGTTTGAAGAAAATCCAGTAAGAATTGCGCCCTGTAGGCGACACAAAGACACACGAAAAGAAAATGGGAAATGGGCGTGGCTCTGCCCCTGGGGGTTGGGCATGTACCCCAAACGATAGGGATGTTCCTTAGGGTACAAAGAATGTGTATGCAAGATTATAAGTTAAGAAATGTGGCCTGTAGACGACAAACAAACAAATACTAGAAATGGGCGTGGCTCTGCCCCTGGGGGTCGGGCATGCACCAAAAACAATAGGGATCTTCCTTGGGGTATAAGGAATAACTATACCAAGTTTGAAGAAAATCCAGTAAGAATTGCGCCCTGTAGGCGACACAAAGACACACGAAAAGAAAATGGGAAATGGGCGTGGCTCTGCCCCTGGGGGTTGGGCATGTACCCCAAACGATAGGGATGTTCCTTAGGGTACAAAGAATGTGTATGCAAGATTATAAGTTAAGAAATGTGGCCTGTAGACGACAAACAAACAAATACTAGAAATGGGCGTGGCTCTGCCCCTGGGGGTCGGGCATGCACCAAAAACAATAGGGATCTTCCTTGGGGTATAAGGAATAAGTATACCAAGTTTGAAGAAAATCCAGTAAGAATTGCGCCCTGTAGGCGACACAAAGACACACGAAAAGAAAATGGGCGTGGCTCTGCCCCTGGGGGTTGGGCATGCACCCCAAACGATAGGGATGTTCCTTAGGGTACAAAGAATGTGTATGCAAAGTTTCAAGATTATTAGTTAAGAAATGTGGCCTGTAGACGACAAACAAACAAATACTAGAAATGGGCGTGGCTCTGCCCCGGGGGGTCGGGCATGCACCAAAAACAATAGGGATCTTCCTTGGGGTATAAGGAATAAGTATACCAAGTTTGAAGAAAATCCATGAAGAATTGCGCCCTGTAGGCGAACCACAGACACACACACACACACACACACACACACACACACACATACATACACACACACACACACACAGACAGGGGCGACGGCATAATACGTTCACATTATGAATGTGGACGTATAAAAAGGATAAACGAAACTTTGTTTATTATCGTAGCAATGACAATCAAGATTACACTGCTTTTCCAACGGCCATAGCTCAGCTCAGAATAAAGCAATTTGACTTAAATTTTCAACATATTCAATTTTTGTTATCTATTTTTAAACTATTATAGCGAGAACTGTCAGATCTTTATCTAAATCTTAAATAATGTATTTTTAAGATATACTCAGATTAATCATTCAACATTTAATTAATAAAATAAAATAAATATATCAACGGTAGATAATCTCCCAGGACTGATTTAATTGGATTAAAGAGAGAGAGAGAGAAATGGGGTTTAACATCCACTCGACACAAACTATGTCATTTTGGGACTAACATATGGTTTTAATTTTTATTTCAATAATTTGCTTGCGCGTAGGGGTCTTTAGCAGTGGGAGGAAACCGGAGGACCCGGAGAAAACTCACAAGGCTGGACAGGCGACCCTACTCCTTGTCACGTACAACCTGGGATTCGAAACCACGCCAGTTGACTCAATGACAGACTTTAAGATACAGCGTGCACACACTAACCATTCAGCCATCCAACTCCCCTAATTGGGATTAAACAGGCCCAATAAATTAGATTTTGAGGAAAATAAAGATGGCGGTTGGTTTGTTCTAACTGAATATCATAGTGTTAAACTTGGAATCCAGCAATAAAAAGACTTGTAACCGGTGATCAATGTAAATTGTAAAATGGTGGGGAGTTCTACATGGAAGAAATGTAGACCGGTACATATTACTTATACATAAATCTCAACATTTTACATGGTACACTATAACAACACTATTCTAGTTTATCATTCAATATAGGTTGCCAGGTAAAGAAACATACACCTGCAGTTGCTATGTTGTCCATATGGTTCATATAAAAGAAGCTGGCAAGAAGCAAACAAGGACAATAACTTTGAAAATAATGTGAAAGAGAGAGAGGGTTTAACTTAAGGTCTACTCAAGCCGGGAATCAAAACCACACCACTTGACTAAATGACAGACCTTACTAAACAATTAAGTCACCCAACCCAACCGTGATATGAGAAGAGAATATAAATGATATAAAAGCTAATAGAAGCAGACACTATATTGCAGGGAATATTCTAACTCCATTAAATATTCTAATTCTATTAAATCTTTCTCTCTGTAGAGTTCTCATATTTCATTGTGGGGATTCCCCTAACTCTAAAATTCTATTAAATCTCCAGTCTGTAGAATTCTCATATTTCATTGTGGGGATTCCCCAGACTGTCCACTCTAACTTCACCATGTTACCATAATACAATAATACAGCTACAGTATAGAGACTTGATAAGACTATAATACAATGAACAATACAGAAGTGATTATTTCAGGAGACGAGATCCATAGTAGTATATTTATACTCTTGTATATCATTGTGGTTATATAATGTTGTCTATCCTCATGTCAACAATTCTTTATGGATCAAGATTATTAGAATGATTTGAAATTTGTATATGTTGGTGGGAAAAGAAAGCCAATTTCAGAACACTACTTGCACATGAGGGGCAGCTCATCGAGTAGGCTAACATGTGCATTTAAGGCCATAAGGTCTGTTATTAAGTCAAGTATGGTCACTTGCCCAGTCCCACTGCTAAAGACCCCTACAAGCAAGCAAATTATTAGTAGTGGATCTTAAAACCCGTCTTACTCCCCCCCCACCCTTCTCTCTTCTAACAGAAAGTTACAGAAAGTTTAACATTGGCAGAAATTAAGAATTACTTCTCTAATACCTCTCAAACGCGGCCTTGTAAAAATTCGTGTGAAAGTATAAAATATGGTGATTGATTAAAGAATGGTATTGTTATAATACACTAATATAACATGGAATTAATGTCAACCTTATTCAAGTGATTAATTTTGTATAATTTAATAAAAATGGCCAACATTTTATCGATCATTAATTACCATATCAAAACATTGATTCATCAAGGAAAATGATTTTATACATGAGCAAAAAAACCAATAAACCAGATGTCTACCCTTCTATTACTCAAAACCTCAATCATATCACAGTCCGGCTATGAGTATTATGATATGTATGATAACTGGGTGACTGTATAAGATTTTTATGTACCAGCTGTTTTTAACAATGACAATATATCAAGGTATGTGTGTAGTTTAATATATGAAATACCTTTCACAGGTGGCTCTTTAAACATTTATATTCTGTTGATATAGGGAATGGGGGGAAGGGCAGAATCAAGGTGATGACAGGGAGTCAGGTGGAACAAGGGGCCTTTATAGTTGAATGCAGGACCAATCAAGGTGATGACCAATGAGTTGGGAGAGGGGTAGTTTCATATATAATGGAGTAGGGGTAAAAGTTGGTGTGGGACTATTTTAGCAAATAGAGTTGAGTAGGCGGATGTTCAAGAATTTCATTAACAATATTGGAACCGATCCATGACTACATGTCAGACTGTTGTAATAGTCATGTCAGGAACTTGTTCTCTGGTTGCATGCTCAGACTGTTCTGACATAAAGACGACATCACGTCATATTTTATCTTTCTTGAATTAACATACCAACACAAATTCAATATCATTTCTCACTTAAAACTATTTTGGATGAAATATGACTCACTTCTGAAATACGTTATCGGTAGTCTACTGAATACGACAATTCTTCATGCTCAAATGCCAATTTTTGGCTTGAAATTACAATTTTTGTTATTTTCTAGGGTTGGAAGGGGCTAAGAATGGATAAGTGGATTGCTATCCCTTTTATTTCCTGACCAATACGTTTGTCAAACAACCTAATCAAATATCAACACAGTAGACTCTAAAATGTCAAACCAAAACAAGGCCTAAATAAAATAAATAAATTTGAAGCATATGTTTCGTTTTTTTCAATAGATAAGAATACTGCTAGAAATAATGTAATTATGGTGGATTAAGACAAAGACTCCATGTTGTGAGAATCCAGAATCAATAAAACATGAATAAAACATGAGAATAAAACATCCAATAACTGACATGTTATCAAATAAACTACACTCATTGTTTAGTACAGCCAGCTCAATATTAACTAGAGACTAACATACGGTACAATTATATTTCAATATAAAACTTGAGATGGAAATAACACCACTGGACTCAATGACAGACCTAATAATCTAAAACACATGTTAGAGCAATCGGCCCACCCTCAGTCCCCTTGAGTTGGAGCATCTGTATGTCCATTTTTAGCAACTTTGCCCCTCCTGCTCTTTGGAATTAACATATATAGCATTTTGTTTTCAATAAATTGGAATATCCAGAGAAGATCCATCAGGTTAGTCAGACAACACTACTCAATGTCACAGGATGGAATCCTTGACTGGCATAAAGAACTGGTGGCTTGTTGAGTATATGGTACTGAACTAGCCAGGAGGTCCTGGCCCCATCCTGAGTTGGGCAAGAGAGTCTGTGGTGCAGGATGGATGGGTATGGGAAAGAAAGGCCTAGTTGTTTGGGTGGGACAAAAAAAAGAAAGGTCCTGTGTATACCACAGGCAAACGCTTTAAATTTCTCTTGAAAGTTGGATATAGAAATAAAGAGTAGGCTGTAGCACTGCTGTCTTGGCAAAATGTCCCTCGTAGCACACTGTATGGCATATTTATATCCTCATTAGCCCGGCTTGTGCAGATAAGTAACACATTAAAAGATTTAATTTAAACAACATTTCATTTCATTTCATTACTTTAGTATCAAATTATCTCAGTTGTATCAGCAAAATTAACAATTCACAAAAATATCTCTTAAAACAAATAACTAATTACAAATCTTATTCAATTAAATCTAGAGATAGTATTCATTCACAAGCTTCCATAGAAACATTCACAAGCTTCCATAGAAACATAACGAATCGTTAAATCAATTAGCCATGAATAAAAAATAAAGAGAAATTTCTTAGTACGTTCCTGTTGTGTTGATCGAGGCCATGAACAGATAATCTCAAGTATTAGGTATGTCAGTCAAGACTTGGTACATAATTTAACAATTAACGTAGGTAGGTGTTAAGAATTTCTCTTACCATGTTGAAAAGCTTGTAATGTTTACTCCTGGTTCTAGAATTAACACACAACAACCTCCAACTCCTGTAAACAATCTACAAGTGGTTTAACACACAACCGTGGTATAACTGGCCATATTCCATACTTGATATATCATAGATAACAGTAGCTGACTGTGGTATAAACCTCGTATTGCCCACTAGTTATATCATAGTCAACAGAATCACAATCTGAATTTCATAATATCCACAAAAATCACAATACTGTGTTAAATTGATATTAATATCAATATAATATCGTGCTTGAATGTGAAGCCATTTTAACTTTGCCAATGTTTCTACGTACTAGAGACAAGCTGTTGCAACTTTATTGATGAAATTCTACATTCTTGTCTCCCTCCTGGTCACATGGTAGAGAAAATCAATATCAATAGATAGTTTATTATAATGAGTGGTTTTTGCTACTTTTACTTTAAACGCCAACAATTAATCAAGTACTGGTACACATTCAGATATATGTTTTACCTGAGAAGAGTGACTATTCTTAAAAGGGAACATAGTAGCCTACAGAGAGAGACAACAAAAAAATGGAGGATAACATCCACTCTGCAACTTTCATTAATCAAGTAATGATTCAGATTTGTTTCATTTGATGTAAATTTACCTTTAATGAAGTTAATGTTCTTACATAATTGTGGGACCTTTTTAGTCTTGAGTTGAGGCAAGATTGCGTAACACTATAATTTATGCACAGGCTAGAAACATCAGTTTTTCAATAGACTTCTCATGCCCAACGGGAGAGCACTACCCAAGAGACCTCAGACCCCAGTCCATTCCTTATAATACTAGCTATATAATTTGTGCCTGTGCATAATTTTTGTTCCTTTATTTTATACTTTTGTATATTCTATGCTGACCTCAAAGGATTTTTCAATGCAATAAAATCCTATTCTATTCTATTCCACTTGTTTAATTAAGTTCATTACTTTTAATATATCGTTCATTACTGCAATATATACATTCAATTACACTGTGTAATTCATAAAATATATACATTCAATTACACAGTGTAATACTGTAATTCATAAAATATATCATTTATTATGTACATAAATATACTGTACTATGATTAATCAATTGGATAAAGTCCTCTGAAAGAGATATATTTACAGTGATTTCTTAAAAAGTATCTGTTGATTTAGAGTCTTTTGAAAAGTAGGGTAAATCATTCCACAGCCTTATTTATTTATAATAATTACGTTTTAAATACGGACGACTGGCGTTATATAAGAAATGTTTGAGTAAAGAGGCTTTGCATTAAGTAAACTCTATAAGCTATTTAAACACATAAATTAGATTACTCTAAAGTTTTTAACTTTTATTAGGTTTTAGATGTATTTGTATTTATAGCTATTGCATAACTTGAACTTTTTTCGTATTTTATTATGTTAACACTAATAATGAGATTTTAATTTAATATTAACTTCTTTGTTGAAGTAGCAATATTGTTATAAATTTATAAAAAAAACCAACCACCCAGTCTTTGCATGGAGTTAAATGTCACCGGAAAAGCTTTATGATTTTTCTAAATAATGCAAGTAATTTTGTCAACATATCCTTTCCATAAGTATAACACAATCCCAAATGTCAATGTTACCTGCCACAGGTAAATTTCAATGGTAGTGATTTCCGCCTTTCTCTGTGAGTAGTCTTAAAGGGGCTAAATCACTAATATTTGGGACCTAGAAATTGACACAAATGGGTCGCACGCATATAATGTAATATGAATGTATATAAACTGATTTACATTCAATCATTTCAGTTTTACTCTAATTTCAAATCATTTATATTTTGCGAAATTCGCCAGAAGTCTCAATCGAATGACAATCGCTAGCGTCTGGTTATTCCAGTCTACACCGATAGTATTTATTGCGCATGCTCTCCAGATAAGAATATTACGTCACCGTTTGACATGACTTGTGGAATAGTTCTAGCCCCGTCCTTCGAGCCCCTTGTTACAAATGGCGCTGAAATGCATTATGGTACACAATTCATGTACCAATGGTAAAATGTTTATTTTGTCTTAAATATTGGATATCAGAAGCCCATCTTTTCCCGGTAAGATCACAACATTAATGTTGATTTAAATTGACAAATAAATTGTGTTTTCAATGTCGGAGATATTGAGTTCGAGACTTAGCTACTTTAACTTTCTGCCAATAGAAATATAGAGTAGAATATGAGCAGAAGGACTAAAATGATGTCACGGATTGTGTTTTGGCGGAAAGTTACGACTACTCAGGGAGAATGGCAGAAATCTACCTGTGGCAGGTAACATCGACATTCAGGATCGTGCTATACTTATGGAAAGGATATGTTGACATAATTCCTTGCATTATTTAAAAAATTTATGAAGCTTTTCCGGTGACCTTTAAAATATTCTACATTATGAATCTTATTGAATCTTACAAACTTCCCAAACTTCTCAAATACAACTTTTGAAAACTCTAAGTCCTAAAATTTGTTGACTACCAAAATACCCTTTATTTAAACTGATTTTATAGAGAGATAAACAATGGATATGGCTGGATTAACCCAGGGACAAATGTTTTTTTCTGTGTCAGTCTTTGTTTACTTAAAATCTCTCCAGTACACTGAATGGTGTATACCTGTGAACAACAATTCAATTTTTTTTTTTTCATTTTCCCTGTTTAGTGAAAATGAAAATTATATAATTACTTAAGTTTTAATTCAGAAACATAAAAGTATTATCTATGTCAAAAAGTTGAGTTATTTTTTTTTTCAGAAATATATGATCTAACATTTTGTCTCATTCCTGTACAAATGAATGAAATGAAATGGGGTTTAACGTCCTGCTGTTCTGCTCATATACTGGGCTAATGAAGACGGGCATACGCCATACAGTGGGCTATGAGGAAAATTTAGCCCGGGCAGCGGCACTATCGCCTACTCTTATATCGAATTCCAACTGCCAAGGGATCTTTTACGTGCATTCCAATGTATACACAGGACCTTGGTTTTTCGTATCATGAAAAGGGGGGTTGGTTTCGTGGTCTATGCTGTTCGGTTTAGATCATAAGGTCTGTCATTGTCGAGTCAAGTGGTGTGGTTTTGATCCTAAGCTTGGATGAGACAGAGAAGAAGGGATACAATCCCAACCTTATGGGTTTTCTCTGGATCCCGAAATGACACACTTTGTGTTGGGTGATTTTAAACCCTCTCCCTCCCTCCTCTGTCCCCCTCTCTTTTATTCCCCCCTCCCTCTGTCTATATCTCTCTGTGTTTCTCTCTCTCTCTCTCTCTCGCTCTCCCAACTCCCTATGGATAGTAAACTTGTACAACTTTCCATAATGATTCAATAATCTCCCTCCCTCCTCTGTCCCCCTCTCTTTTATTCCCCCCCTCCCTCTGTCTATATCTCTCTGTGTTTCTCTCTCTCTCTCACTCTCCCAACTCCCTATGGATAGTAAACTTGTACAACTTTCCATAATGATTCAATAATCAAATTAATTATCTTGATCATTTAATAACAACCCTGACTGATTGACCACTTTAAGATCAGTATATTAACAAACAGGAGAATATGTCATTAACATTCTCGCAAGTAATGATCCAAACTACTACGTCAATTGACGACCAATCCCATCAGGCCATTCAACATCAGATCAATAACTATTGTCTATGGCAAAATTTTATTCTGGTTGCTAGGATACCGGCTATAGTGTTTAGATCAGAACTTACAGGAACTTACCAGGATGTTGAGATGCTCATCGTATGATTGCTTTTTATGTGGTTCGCTGAATGAATTATACAATATACACGAAGCATGCAAACATAGAGTTGATGATTAGCCTGTTTTTGTTTTACGCTTTATGAAATGAAATCGGGTTTAATGTCCCATTTATCTGTACCAGCGAGCTATTGAAAACAAGCATAGGCTATGTACTATTCATGAGGGGAATTTTGCCCTGACAGCAGCATTACAGCCTACTAATATTTCGGATTCCAACAGTCAAATGTTCTTTTAAGTATATGCCAATATGTACACAGGATTGCATACACCATGCAATATGTCTTGATGGAATTTTTGACCATGATATTTTTGCTAAAATCTTAATGGACCCGATTGTTATTTGAGGTATTTTGAAGTTCTTGCAAACTACAATATTGTCAAAGAGAGAGAGAGAAATGGCATTTAACGTCCACTCGACACAAACTAGGTCATTTCGGGACTAACATATGGTTAATTTTATTTCAATAATTTGCTTGCGCATAGGGGTCTTTATCACTGGAAGGAAACCGGAGGACCCAGAGAAAACCCACGAGGTTGGAACAATATTGTCAAAGATAATCTCTAATAGGAATATTGGTCCAAAATTGATTCAATTCTGTTCAGTATTTCCGTCTTCATTAGCCCAGGTTAGGAGCAGAACAGTAGGACGTTAAACTCCATTTCATTCCATTTGTTCAGTATTTACAAAGATATGGTAAAAAGTTAATTTCCCAACATTTGGCATCCTCTATAAATAGTATAAACAAATCAGTGCCACCTATAAGTGCTATGGGACAATCTTTTGATGGGCCTCTTTTTAATCTGAATGAATCCAAACCAGGAGATTATCTTCTAACGACATTTTTTTATGAAAGGTCAATAATCAATTTTAATACATTTTAGCGTTGATCGAGTTGTGAAATACTAGATATTGTTCAAAATGCAAATGTCCATCAGATAAATTATTAATACACAAAGCTTGACTATCTCTATAAATATTTATATTATGTAATGGTTTTATTGATTTTCACAAACTCAAGTCTTTAATAAATCTATATCTTTCCTTCTACTGCTATTCATCTATCAACTATTATTCACCATGTATTCATAAAATAACTAAGAATCAGACATAAATATTTCATCCACGAGGAGGCTTCAATTATACAGTAATATTCTTCTGCTCTGTGAAATGAAATAGGGTTGAACCTCCTACGTTTCTGCACTGACTGAGCTAATTAAAGATGGGCATATAGCCATGCAGTGTATTTATACATCAAATTTGTACTGCAATACATATATTGCAGTCAAAACACATTATTACAATGTATACATTTTTTTGACAGCCCTAATTACCAGTATCTGAAATATAAATTAGAGTGTTTAACATCTACTCTACTCAAACTAGGTCATTTCGGGATTAACATACAGTTCAATTTTATTCCAATAAATTGTTGGGGGGTATGTGTCTTTGCAGTCGGAGTTTGGGAAAATTAGAGGACCC